ACCAAAACTTACTGTTCATGCTAAAATATAAACTCGGACTTGTCCCATCACATATCTTAAATGAATTCTTTAAAAGCAATAGAAATAGATATGACACTAGAGAAGTAGGAAACTTTAATATACCGTTCAGAAAAACAAAACTATCGCCTTTCACAACTTTATATCGCGGTCCCTTTCTCTATAATAAACTGATATCCAAAAATGCCATAATTACAAAATTAGATAACCTAAATTGTTTGAAAATCTTACTAAAAAAATTCGTTCTAAATATAAACAATTATTTGAACTTACACTAAACTAAAACTGAAACTAGAACCAAAATTAGCGTTGAAAACAAACTCGCAAGAAACTTCAATATTATTAATTTCAATATTAAACTTATATATTTATATAAAAAAATCAATATAATTCAGGAATAATTATATTTATGCCTAATAATATATTTATGTGTATTATGTGTATTACAAACAGCATTTATCAATTTCTTTTCTTTTTTTTCTTTTTTTTTAAGATTTTATTATATGTGAATCCAATATAAAATGAAGTATTTTGTGAAAGTAGAAAACGAAAATACAAAAAATATTACAAGTACAAGAGGTTTCTTGATGACAAGACCATTTGGTCTTCTGCAAGTTTTCCGCGTTCTTTTAACTTTTTATATTAATTATTTGTGCTAAATTTAATATTTGTACTAAAAAAAGTTCATTTAATATGTAAGATATTTTATTTTATACATTGTAAACGAATCAGTTTATATTATGATCACGAATTTGTAAAATTTTGATAAAAGAACAAAAAATAAAGTAAAAAACAAACAAAAAACAGTTAAGTAACGTTTTACTATTTAAAATAGCAACGTTGTACTATTTAAAATAGTAAAACGTTACTTTACTGTTTAAAAGTTACAGATGTTTAATTAAAGTTTTTAAAAATGGCCAAAGTAACCCAGCTGGCCAAGGTAACCCCATGTATATATATATATACATATATATATATATATATATATATATATATATATATATATATATATATATATATATATATATATATATATATATATATATATATATATATGTATATATATATATATATATATATATATATATATATATATATATATATATATATATATATATATATAAAATTAAAAAAAAAAAGGTCGTTTAGCAACACATCTGCAAACTATCATTACTTTCCTTAATCACCAGAAAAGCCAATTTCATCAAAATTCCATAAATGAGATGAAATGAATTGCGCCACGGCTGTACTCAATAATTGAGTGCAACCGTGGCGCAGTGGTAAGAGTTCTGGCTCCGAGGTTCGACGCAGGATCTAACATAATAGTTGACATAGGTAAGGAAGCAGGCGTGTACTTTCTATTTAAATGTTTTACCGCAGTGGTCTAACACCTTGAAAACCACATAAAAAACTCTGCTTTGTTGAATTCTTTTTGCAGTGTGTAGTAATACTTCGCTAATACTTCTGGCGCGCAAAGAGCAGATTTTAGTGATGAAATATTGCTAACGACTCTGATGCTTACCTTATGACTCCATCGGTGAAAAGCTTGTACCAATCGTTCCTTGGTGCACCGTTGGAAAACAGATCAGATTGACCTTAGTGTTGCTAATAGCCGGTAATTAAAGTGATGATGTCGTTGTAAATTACACTTGGATAATTTGATAAGTGTATCTAAAAGAGATGATCAGAATGTTGCGGCAATCTCGTATTTGAACCACTAGCATTTGTTTCACCTATGCCTTTGACACGAGTAAAAAGAGTTACTACTAGTATGCAGAATGATTGAGCAGCTTTGCTGAGTGAAAGCTCGCCACTTTTTATTTTTGCCACTGCGTAACTTGGTCTTTGGTGTATGTTTTTTTCCTTTGCGAGCAAGTTTTTTCGAAGCATATTTTTTATTAGAATAGATTTGATAACAACAACAACAACAACAAGCTATTTATTTTCCGTAAATCATTTTACAATAGTTTTGATAATAATGATAATAATAATAGTAATAATACCAAAAATATACAATAATAACATAAGATAAAAAAAATAATTATACAAATTATAGTAATAGTAATAATAAGTATGTTTACAATAATTACAATGAAAAAATAATAATAATAACTAATATTAATATAATAAAAAGTTAATGACTTATTAGGGTGGTGTCACTCATACAGAAATCTGATCAAAGGAGTGACACCAATTTTTTATTTATTTTTTTTATTTTTTTATTTTAAGGCCACTACAGACGAGGAGGCTACTTATTTGTGGTTATAACCCTCTCTCAACTCTATAACTCCGAAACACGAACCTTGATAAGCAAGGCCGCTGCGTGGAGAAACGAGTTGATTTAAATTAAAATAATAATTTTAATATAATATAAGCAATAATAAGCAAAGAAAAAAACACACAAACCAAAGCACATAAAATATACATCAAAACAAACATGTAGAAATCAATTTGCAGGTTTTACTAATAAAAAAATAAAATAAAATAAACAAAAAGTGCTAATGATAGTTGTAATAATTACGAAAAGAAAATTAAAATAACATTTGAATCATAAGGATAATAATAATAAATTGATATTGTTTAAGATGGGGTAAAGGTATTTTAGGATATATTTTTTTGGACTCATTCAAAATGCATGCAAGGCTCCTGTTTCGTTCACAAACGCACTAATAAGCGATAGAATGTTTACTATACTTCTGGGTTTTAATTTAGTTGGTACATTTAGTTTTCCATTTTAATTTTAGATGGTACATTTAGTTTTCCATTGTGTATATTTCTAGTCGAGCAGAAATGTAATAGTCTACTTTCTGTGAACAAGTTTGTGATAGGAGATGGTATTATTTTATTTAAGGAGTCAAAAACAAAAAGAAGATTAGCATACTTTACTAGCGCTCGAAATGTTGGAATGAAAAGTTTTTTGAAGGACTTTGATGTATCTAATTTAATTGGTTGGAAGTTTATTAATCTGATGGATTGACGCTGAGACGATAGCAACTTGTTAATACGATAGTTTTCAACTTGACCCCAAACTTGTCAACAATTAATACACCAAGATATTTAATAACTCTAGAAGGATATAGCCGTTTATTATTAATTTTGATTTTGATTTCAACATTTTTAAAGAAATTGCTTTTCCTTGGAGATAAAAATTAGTTCAACATTTTTAAAGAAATTGCTTTTCCTTGGAAAAAAAAAATTAGTTCAGTTTTTTTGGTGTTGAGACATATTAGGTTAGGATTTAACCAGTGAACTATACCTTTTAGATTCGAATTAAAATTTTTACATAAAGAATGATACGATTTGTTGATGTGCAAGAGATTTGTATCATCAGCAAACAGATAGACTGAAGAGAAGAGAACAGAGTTAATTAGGTCGTTAACGTAGATTTAAAACAAAAGAGGACCTAGAACAAAACCTTGAGTAACACCACATAAAACTGATTTATAATTAGAATCGGAACCATTGATACTTACAAAATGTTTTCGATCTGAAAGATAAGATCGAAACTTGTCATTTACAATACTACGAATTCCATAATATTTAATTAAGAAATCAAAATACTATGGTCAACGGTATCGAAAGCTTTTTGTATATCGATAAAAACACCACAAACGAAATGACCAGTATCAAGAGCTTTCCTGATTTTTTTCCGTTATACTTATTAATGCATGGCAAGTAGAATGTTTTGAAAATAATCGATTTAATAGTTGAACAAAGAATTTATAAAGATTTATTGGTGAGTTTAGACATGATTAATAAAACCCTAATTATCAAGCAAATAGTTGGCGCATTTTATTGAATCTGTTTTTAACTCTTTTTAACTTTTTATCAGAAATTGCAAATTTAATTTTAAAAGATTACTCTTGACCAACAAATTTCCTTTCCGCTTTTTTTTTTTAAATTTTGCGACCAAAATCTTGACCATTCATTAAAAAAATAACTTATTTTGTATTAAAATCTTAAATCGTTATTTAAAATTCAATTTTAATCTGTTTACTTTCGATTTGTGATTTAGTTTTAATAGAAAGCTCAAACCCATTTTATGTAGTCAATTGTTACTAGTAAATAAATAACAAATAAATTAATATTCTTGTGCGCCATAGCTTTTTCCTATTCTTATCTAAAACTCCATATAAATTTCGGTTGATTTTTTTGTTTACATTTTTTCCGTCCTATTTTTTGACATTAAACCATTAAAGACTGGGTTTATGGTCATTTAAAACCTGGTTTTTGTTTACTTTGAAACATGGACCTTTTGAATTTACACCATGAACCTTTGGTTTGTGGATAAAGAATCGTTAGCATCATTTGAATCTTCAAAGGATGAGTAATGCAATACAGCTATTATGTTTTTAGACATCTAATAAAAATTTGACAGTATTTTCTAAACTAAATTATTTTTTACCTCTTGAAAACCTAGTATTGCTTGTAAAAAAACATAAAAAGTTATTCCAACTTGTTTGTTTGTAATTTTACTTAAAAAAAACCCTTACTTTAATTTCTTAAATTTTCTTTGATTTCTGTTATTTACATTTTTGCACTAACTTAAAGCATGAACAAAAAAAACTACGAACATATGAAAACTAATATTTATTTTGTGTTCGTCGTTTCTAATATTTTATTCTAATATATTACTCCAAAATTATTCTAATATATTACTCCTAATAATTATTCTAATATATTATTCCTTAACTTGTTTTTGCATAAATTAAACTCTATCAAAGCAGACAATTTTTACGACTTTTGATTTGTATAAAAAGTTCAAACTTTATTTTATCTTATTAAGATTTAAAAAAAAAGTTACTACCTATATAACATAAATAATTATTATTTACACATAAAAATTTAATACAATAACACTATATATTAACAATAAATTTCATAAAATCGTTTTTTAATTGCTCTGTTAAATTAATTATATATTTTAAACGCTTTTGGAAAAATAATGAAAATTAAAATGTTTGTAAAATTAAAATGTTTGTAAAAGCTAATAGTCATTCTCAGGATCATATCTACAAAATAAAAATAAAAATTGAAAATTAAAAAGATTAAAAAGAAAATATTAAATTATTTTTATATTTATATAATTATATTATATTTATATAATTATATTATATTTATATAATTATATTATATTTATATAATTATATTATATTTATATAATTATACTATATTTATATAATTATATTTATATAATTATATATAATATAATAAATTATTATAGATAAAAAATTCTTCTACAAACCTTTTAAGAATAGCTCTAAGCTCTTTAATTTGAGCATTCTTTCCTTCAAGCATCTTCTTCATGTTTTTAAACTGAGTTGTTTCAGCAAATTTTTTATCAAATTCCTTCATTAAAAAAAAAATCGAAAAATGTAAACAACTTCTTTAGTAAAACAAGCCAACCCCCCAAAATAAAACTTTTTGCGTTACACAAGCTTATTCACTCTACTATCACAAAAAAAAAAAAAAAAAAAAAAAAAAATTTGAAAAGGATTGCAAATTTGTAATCAACATGATATATAGAATACTTCAACATTTTAAAAACGGAAAAAAGTTAAACTATGTTTTTTAAATTTTGTTAGAACTTTCGTTGACATTTTTTTATTATAATTGAAACCAACTAAAAACAAATAAACTGACCTCGCGAAGAGTTTCAAGCTCGTGTTGTAAAGCAAGCGTATAATGCTAAAAAATATTTAACAAAATAAGAATAAATCTTTAACAAGTTATTTAAAGAACTTTTGTTCACCAAGTTGTTAAATATTATTCAACCTTAGTACTAGCCAATTCCTCTTCCATTGATGAATACTTCTGTTTATACAGTGATTCTGCCTAAAAATTTGAAATTTTTTTAAAATCTTGACTAGCAAATTATTCTGGAAAAAGTAAAAAAAAAATAGAAAAGTGGTTATATGCAACAATACCTCTTGTAAATTTGAACTCAACAATGAAATCTTTTTAGACAAAACATTTATCTCATCATTCGTCTAAAAAAGATTGAATTTAGTTCAATGATAACAATAATTATAACAAATATATATATTTATTATTATTATTATTATTATTATTATTATTATTATTATTATTGGTAATATAATTATAATAATAAAAGCAGTAATAACAATAGCAGTAATAGTAAAATCAACTAAATTCAACATCCTTGAAAAATAATTATAAAAATTTACTGTTGTTTCTTGAGCTGTAATATATTTGGCTTCTTGTTGAGATTTAGCTTCACGTAAATCTGCACGCAATTTTGATGCCTCATCCAATCCAGTAGAAGTCTTTTTAAATCAAGCATATATATATATATATATATATATATATTATAAAAAATAATTATTTGAATAATTGAAAACATTAATACAAAAGAAAATTGTCTTTATAACAATCTGACAGAGGCAACTAATATTATCTCCAATATTAGTCTGATAGAGACTATACATGGGGTACATATCCTAATATGGAGATGTTATCTCCAATATTGAGCAAAATCTGATAGAGACAACTTGTTTTACTAATTATTCATAGATATTTTAACTGACAAGTAAATATAAAGAAAAATCAAACACACCGATTTCTCCAAGCTTGTTACTTTGTTTTTCAGTATCTCATTTTCTTCTTTTAAACGATTAATTTCCTATAATAATTTTTTTAAATGTTTTAAATTAACTAAATTATGAAAATGGAAAAATAAAAGCTATTATCAGAAACAACATCATTGTAAATTAAAAACAATTTATCATTTCATTCATGTTCATAAAAGCTAGAATCTTGTCTTATAAATTTTAATGCTTTTTTTATAAACTATATATATATATGTATATATATATATATATATATATATATATATATATATATATATATATATATATATATCAGGGCCTATTCTAGGAAATAGATTTGGGCGACGGTACCCCCTCGTTTTGACGGAATTTAGCGGTAAATTGGCTTTTTTTCGTGAAAAAAACAATATTTGCCGTAAAAACGAAAAAAAAAAGGTGAAAAATAAAAAAGATCTTCGAATTTTGATTTGGGCGGCGCCCAAATCAGCGCCCAAATAGGGTTGATATATATATATATATATATATATATATATATATATATATATATATATATATATATATATATATATATATATATATATATATATATATATATATATACACACACATATACATATATATATACATTGGCGGAAAATTGTCACAGAAATTATTCATATACATTTATATCTATGTATATTATATTTATCTATATTATATATCTATATTCATGCATATTTTAACGCTATGAAAAAAATGTCAAAAAGTAGTTCAAAGAAATTAAATAATAGGTAAATTTTATTAAACTATATAAACAAATGCAACTGACATATTAGCAATTTTGATTTCAATTTTTTCTTTGCCTCTTTTTAAATGTTATTATTAGAAACCAAACCCTTCGATAGTTTTTGTTTGTCCTCAACAAGCACTGCTTGAGCACGTAAGGTGTTTACAAATGCTGATGCAGTTTGAGTTGTGAGGGTAAATGCAGGTGAAAGAGACCAATTATCAATCCAATCACCCAGACCTTGGTAAAATATCATTTTTTTGTCTGCTTATACAATAGCATTGCCAATAACATTTAGCTAAAAACTTTGTTTAGAATTAATAATCATCCACAAGTGTTAAAAATAGTTTAAAAATTTAAAATATCTTTTCGACTTGGATAATAGCTTTTTGAAGCTGCAATTGTAGTTTAATGTATAATTACTAATGCAAGTGGCACACTTTGTTTATTATTTCCAGGATGGAAATAACATACTAACGGGTGATGCGTAATTAGTGACACAAAAGTTATCTTAGTTTTGCTTGTAATATAATCTTTTTCATTAAACCATATAAATTTATTTTGGTAAATTGAATAATCTAGTTTTATTAAAAAAAAAAATTATCCAAAAATGTTAAACGGCCAAGAAAGAGCAGCTCTTCAAAAAAGCGTCAAAATTTTTTTCGTAAAAAACCCAAAAGCAACCAAAGACGAAGCCGCTAACCATTTTATTAAAGAAGGAATCGCTCGCAAAACAGCATATAGATATATCAATCGACAGCTTGATGGACAATGTTTAAAAATAAAAAAAAATTCTGGTCGCCCGTCATCGTGGACTCAAGAAAAAAAAGCGAAACTTAAAAGGTTGACCAACAATCGAAAAGGTGTAAGTCAAAGAAAGCTCGCACGTAAATTTAACGTAAATCAAGCAACAATTTGTAGACAATTAGCCAAAATGAACATAAAATATTGGAAACCCGAAAAAACACCGAAATACAATGATAAACAACGTCTAAGCACAAAAAAGAAGTCGAAAACTCGTCAATCACCTCTACAAAGAACAAAGCGTTTTAATTTTGGACGACGAAAAATACTTTTGTTTTGCTGGCGATGAAATGCCTGGAAACGCCGGTTATTACATGAACAACAAAGAAAAATATCCAGAAATTGTTCGTTTTGTGGGAAAAGAGAAGTTTCCGAAAAAAATTCTCGTTTGGATCGCATTATCTGAGCGTGGAATGTCGAAACCACTCTTCCGGTCGTCAACCTCGGCTGCAATAAAATCCGAAATTTATATCAAAGAATGCTTAGAGGAACGATTGTTGCCATTCATAGATAAGTATCACGATGATTTAAATTACATATTTTGGCCAGATTTAGCTAGTGCCCATAGAGCTAAAGAGGCAATATTGTGGATGAATGAAATGATTAACTTTGTGCCGGTCGATATGAACCCTCCTAATGTCCCCAAAGCCAGGCCAATCGAAGACTTTTGGAGAGTATTGGCTCAGAATGTGTATGAGGGTGGATGGGAGGCCAAAAGTGAACAACAACTGATTCGGCGTATCGAAGCCTGTCTGAAAAAAATTGATTTGACATTTTTACAATCCCTTATGAAGGGTATCAAAACTAAATTGAGATTAATAGCCGATCAAGGCTATCAATCGATTTACAAAAAATAATTTTTAAAAAATAAATATTGTGTTATTATTTTTTAAAAATGAAAAAAAATTTTTCTTTTAATTCTTTAAAAATATAAGGCTTTGATTTTTGTGTCACTAATTATGCATCACCCGTTATTAATAATATACTAATAATATACTATTTCCAGAGTTTTTGACTAAATGCACACTATCATAAAACAAATGTCTTCTTTCCATGATTCTGTGGGTGAATAACAAAATTTTTTTTGATTCAGACTTAGTAATATTGTAACTAATAATGAGAATGCATTAACATTAGTGGAATGATTGTCTGCCATTATACCATGCATAGTGAACCCTACTAGATTTTTTAGGTTGTCAGCTATTTTTTGAGATTTTCCAGAGAATGTGACTTCTGGAATTGCTTGAACAATAAAAGGAATAGATTCTTTTAGTCCTATTATCATAAATGTGACAATTCCTTTGTACAAGTTATCTTGTTTGTCAGCACCAACATAATCTCCTCCTTGATATTGTACTGCTTTTTGAAAATACATTTCATCTACCATCATATTATTATCAGAAAAATTTTTTCCTTTTTCACGTAGAAGTTCTAAAGCCTTTATAGAATCGATACCTCCTTGTTGAACTTTATTTAATAAAAATATTGATGGTGATGGGAACTTTTTAAATAGTAGTTTGTATGCCTGCAAAGATGTATATCATAAAAATAACTGATATTTTTGGAGTATTCTCATTTTAGAAGTACTTTGAGAAGTTTTTAAAACTGGTAAAGATGATTTTTTTGCAAAAGTTCACAAGAATACTCAGAAGGAATAGGTTTTAAAAGCCAATTCAGGGTGCATTTATCATCTCTAATTATATATTTATCTTCAAAATGAAGTTCATATAAAACAGAATGTTTTGTTGGAGTCCAATCTGAAGGATTAACAAATCATGTCTAAAGTTACTTTATGTTTTGGTCATTTGGAAAATGAAAAGATGCAATTTGTTTGTGTTTGTTGCTTAAGTATCCCGATATACATTTTGATGCAGCACATTTGTTGACCGTTTTTAATATAAATTCTTTAAAAGTTAGTAAATTCAGCAAGAAGAATATTTCTGAAAATAATATTTTAGCATATTTTATGTCTAAAACTTTTAAAACCTGCCTTTTAATTTCTCCCTCAAAAATATAAGATATACAGCCATGAATATAATAGGCCATGCTATATATATATATATATATATATATATATATATATATATATATATATATATATATATATATATATATATATATATATATATATATATATATATATATATATATATATATTTTATATATATATATATACATATATATATATAAAATAATTATATATATATATATATATATATATATATATATATTTATATATATATATATATATATATATATATATATATATATATATATATATATATATATATATATATATATACACACATACATACATATATACATATATATATATATATGTATATATGTATATATATATATATATATATATATATTTATATATATATATATATATATATATATATATATATATATATATATATATATATATATATATATATATATATATATATATATATATATATATATATATATATATATATATATATATATATATATATACATATACATTAAGCCACTGTCTAAATCACTTCAATGTTTTCAACTATTTGTCTGTTTTCTCAAAAGAATTATTGCTTTAATCATCACTGCTTAAACTGTCTTGCAAAAAGTAACATTGCATATCCATCTAATCATCATCTTTTCTGTTCTTTCCAAAAGCTGGACATCATCAACCTTCATTGTCCCTGTTTCATTGCCATGCATCAAAACACTCTGGACATTTGTGCAGTAGTACTTTCCTTTATTCATTAATGAAGCACCTTTTGACATTAAAAGTGAGAAATTTTTTTGGAGCTTGGCCCAAGCAGACCTTACTCTTGTGCTTCTTTTGCTCCACCAGCTGATCCAATAGTATCTTCAAGATAACAAAATTAAAAAAATCTATGTTTTTATTTCAATCTCTTTTTCAACTTCTTCTCTATACTCACCGAAAGTACATTTTCTACACTCAAAACCAACAATCTTTAGAGAACATCTCTTCAATATCTACACCTCTTACAAAACCATTGCATACAAACAAAAAAAGTTTTTTTTCCTTCTTTTTTCTTTTATATAGAATAGATGAATCTCATACTGAATCAAGAGCTATCTGATACATGACAGTGGGTTAATATACATATATATACATCAGGGGCTATTCTAGATCATTTTTGACAGCATCAACCGATTTGGGTGCCGCCCAAATTAAAATTTGAGGACCTTTTTTTTATTTTAATTTTTTACGACAAATATTGTTGTTGTTTTTTTTGCAAAAAATATGCTTATTTTCCGCTAAATTTTGCCAGGACAGGGGGTACCACCACCATAATTTTGTACATACATATATAAATGTTATGAACATGTAGAAATTTTAAAACTTACTTTCATTTGAGTTTGTATAAACCCTGACAAGATTTCACGCTCTGAATAGGAACATATAGCCATAACATCATCCCTTATCACCATATTAAATAATGGACTCAAGAAATTATAAGGCACTCAACAAAATCAACAAATACTGTTCTTAAAATCAAGACATATTTTCCAGAGCAAAAAGTAGTGCATTTTTTAATATTAAAAAAAAAAATCACTTGATAAACTTTTCTTTAAACCATCAAATCAATAAAAAAAAAATCAACAGAGTAAATGAATTATTAATAAAATCACACTTTAAGTGTTTAACAGAACTTTTTAAATAGAAATCTAAATATATGCAATAAGAAGAAATGTTTATGTTAATTCTTGCATAATGAACTTTATTTTCTTATACAATAGCTTCTTAGTAAAAAAAAAAATTTTAATTTAAAATAAAAAAACTTAAAAAATTATTAAAAAAATAAGGAGATTATCATGGAAAAAAAGATTATCAGAAAGAAAATTTTATGCTATAAAAAAGATTATTACAGAAAAGAAAATATAAAAAACAATTATATACATAATAAATAAGATAAACAAATTTAACAAACTTAAAATAATTTATTTTTTAAATTAAAAGAAAAAAACATTCAAAAAAAAAATTATAATTTATTTTTTGTGGACATAATATCCAAAATTGGTATCTTTTAAACTCTTTTAAACATTTTATTTGGTTTCTAAAATCAAGAGCAAAAAAAAAAACTATGAACTTACATATTATCTACAACATCAATAATTTTAATAACAAAGAAAAAAATATTTTCAAAACATATAAACATTTTTTTAACATTTTCAAAATTAAAATTTTTCAAAGTAACTTTTTTAAAACAAGTAAATCTATAAAAAAAAAAAAAAAAACTTATAAAAATTTAAAGTTTAAAACAAAAGTTAAAAATTGATTTTAATGATTGGACAAAAGCTAAGTTGATAACGATTTTGGATGAGTAAACTAAATACACTGCATATTTTGGATGAGAAAACTAAACTAACTTTAATCAAGCATAAAATTTAGCATTAGTATAATATATACTAATAACTAACTCTACATAATATCTGGATTATAAACGGCAGGTGAAAACTGATGTAAAAAACGATATTCAACTGAAAACTCTGAGCTAAGCTTTTTTTAGAATAAAACTAAAATAGTTCAAAAAAGTAAAACTAACTTTAAAAAATTTAACATTTTGAGATAAGACCAAAAAAAAAAAGAGAAGAAAAAGACTCTTTACAAGTTTTCAAAACTATTAAATTAAAAAACAAATAATTTAAAAGAAACATTTCATTCTAAGCAATGCTCCAAACTTAATACGAGTGTTAAAAAACTTAATACGGGTGTTAAGTATAAAATTGTACAAAACTCAACTTGTACAAAAAATCAGCAACTTATTTGTCTTTAATTTCTAGTTTATTTTTATGTATTGTTTACATTTTAAATGTTTTAACAAATGAACTAAATAGAATTAATTATTTTTTATAATTAAGTTTGCTTGTAATTAATCATAGGCTAAATTGTTGCTATATAAAAAAATCATAACCATCCAGTTTTAATTAGGATGGAAAAATTCTTAAAACAAGAGATAAACAGAACAGAAAATAAGAGATAAACAGAACAAAAACTAAAAATAACAAGTAATTTTATTTTTGATCATTTTAGCCATCATAAACCATTGCAAAGAAGTATATTTTCAAAATTTTGAAAATATAACTTTTGCTTACTCAGCACATTTTAGTTACAATATAAGTAACAAACCATTTGTAGAAGAGCAGCAGACCCTCCTTCATTTAGTGGTTCAAGCTTTGTCTTCTGTGGTATTAAATTTGCACTCTTTAAAAAACAATATTAAAAAGTTAAAATTAGTTCAAATTATGTAAAGTAAAAATTACTATAATTTATGCGACATTTGTCATTTATGCAATATTTGTAACCTGGATTTTAGACTTTCTTCCAGAACTATCTTGTTCTTCAAAATCTGCAATTTCTTTTAACAACTTTCTGTGAATATGAATAAAATAATTTAAACAAATTAAAAACATGAAAAAAATGAAATAAACAAAATCCTAAAATGAAGTACTATTATACTACAATACTTTAAAAACAAGTAGATAAGTGTTTTTTATAAATTTATACCATACATTATTTGCAAAAACTCATGTCATTATGACCGCATGATGTTGTATTTAATTTAATTTAAAACCAAATTAAATTTTAAATCTAGAAGAATCTCCTATACAGTTCAGATAAACAGAAAAATTTGTATTTCTACTAAAATAGAACCGAAAAAAAAAACTTTATGCAAAATATCAAATTTTACATAAAGTATTATTACATTTACAGCTTTAACTTCTGAAAAAATCAACTGTCAATTAAGTATTAGTGGGATAGTTTACTTGTATTTCATCTTGTTCCTTTTCTACCTTTAGGTGTACACTGAGCAGACTGGATAAAGTGCATATTGTTACTGCTATTAAGTATTGAAGCAGTACAAGTGTCATTGAAAAAGAAAGCTAATGCAACGCAGCTAATGCATAGCTTAAGAAAAGTTAAATTTTGGATAAACAACTTTTTTTTTCTTATTTTGATTTAATCATTATCATTTTATGACTATTTGCTTTTTATTATTAGGAATTTAGGAATTATTATTTTTATTATTTGTTTAAAAGTGAGTTTAGATTTTAAAAATCAAAAAAATGTAAATTGTAAATAAAGAAACAAATAGTATTTATAGTTATTTGCAAACCATTAAAAAAAATATAACTTTATAGAATTTTTCCTGACACAAAAATAATTAGTAATTCAATCTTACTGATTTTCCAGCTCAGATATGTCAGCTTGTAATTTAAGATGCCATTTTTCTGCTTGGGTGAACAACTGAACAAGTAAAAGAACATTTGTGTGAGCAGCATTTAGGAGCTCAGACTCTATTGAAGATTTTACTACAGCCTGTAATCCATCTAGCATATCTGATACTTCATCCACAGTAAAAGTATCTTCATGGAGTCTATATTTATACATATTTTGTAATACATAAATACATACATACATACATACATACATACATACATACATACATACATATATATATATATATATATATATATATATATATATATATATATATATATATATATATATACACATATATATATATATATATATATATATATATATATATATATATATATATATATATATATATATATTATATGGAAATACACAATAGCTAATGATTGCCAAAAGCATGAAACTCAGAGTTCCATCAAAAGTTGTTTTTATTCATTTAATATAACTAAATAAATATTGTTCTATTATTTAATAGTATTGAGCACTCTTAAACACACAAGAGTATTTGTATTATTATTATAGCATAATAATACATTATCTATATATATATATATATTATATATATATATATATATATATATATATATATATATATATATATATATATATATATATATATATATATATATATATATATATATATATATATATATACTATAGCATATTTATGTAACAAATTGTATAGCATATTTATGTAAAAAATTGAAGAAAAAAACGAATAATACTGAAAGAAAAGATCGCTGCCTATGCCAAACCCTCAGACGATGTAGCAGCACTCAGCTGCTCCACACTTCATCCACAGTAAAAGTATATATATATATATATATATATATATATATATATATATATATATATATATATATATATATATATATATATATATATATATATATATATATATATATATATATATATATATATATATATATATATATATTAAATTAGTCAAAAAAATACATAATTAATATTTGAATTTTTTCTTCTTTTTAAAAGTATGATTAGTTAACTATGCATACTTTTAAAAATATTTTAAAAATTTGTTGTCTTAAATTAATTTATTGTTAAAAGATATTAGTTAATTAATTTATTGTTGAAAACCATGAACAAAACATATTTCGAAATTTTCAGGACTTTGCTTTCTCATGTTTAAAAATGATAAATTTTAGCTAAATCTAAAATAAAAATCACGACAACAGGATAAAAGTAATTTTTTTTATAATATTGCCCTGCAGATAAATAACTTTTTTCATAGCAGAGTTACATTTAAAGCTATCTGATTTTCTCTGCTATATCTGATTATTTAAGCTGCCTGATTTTCTTTAGTATACCTGATTATTTAAGCTCCCTTATTTTCTCTGATATGGCTGATATTATTTAACAAACCTGTAGTTAAATAATATGTATTAAAGAAAAAAACTATTTACCTTGCAACTTTAAGGTCTTCAAAACATCCTTCTACAGAACGCACTTGCTGATTTCTATTGTAACGAGCAAACTTCAAGTATTTTTTTACTTCCTCTTCATGGTTACTACTCAATCCTAAATCCGTCTATAAAACAGAACAATTAAATTTGTTCATAAAACTAAACAATTAAAATAAAAAATTTTCAATACTTAATATTATAATTTTCTTTAAATAATAAAAAAAAGATTAATGAACAATAAAAAATAAAGAAAAACTATCATTTTAAAATAAAAAAGTTTTAAATGGAACCAGAGAAATAAGGAATTATTTTAGTAATTATTTTATTACTTTTTTTATTACATTTTTTTTCTATCAAGTTAGTAATCTTAAAACAATACCTTTTTCTACATTTTATTTTTTTACTTAAATAAATATACTTGAATATATATATTTGTATATATATTTTACTTGAATAAATATACTTATATATATATATATATATATATATATATATATATATATATATATATATATATATATATATATATATATATATATATATATATATATATATATATATATATATATATATACATATATATATATATATATATATATATATATATATATATATATATATATATATATATATATATACATATATATATATATATATATATATATATATATATATATATATATATATACATATATATATATATATATACATATATATATATATATATATATATATATATACATATATATATATATATATATATATATATATATATATATACATATATATATATATATATATATATATATATATATATATATATATATATATATATATATATATAAGTTTTAATCAAATTTCTTCAAAATGAAAAAAAAAAAAAAATCAGTAACAATCTGTAAAGTTACTATTGCAAGGGAATAAATGACAATTTTTTCAGATCTAGGTTTAACAACAACTAATCAGTTTAAAATAACTTTAAAGTCATTAGTTTTAAAATACAAACTTTTCATTCATTAAAATAAAAATTATTATAAAATCTTCCTAAAAAATCTCACCTTAAAATTTATTACAGATGCAACAAATAGTTTATAAAATATTTAGTTCCCAAATGGAAAGTGATCTAGTTATTAAAAGTTAGGACCAGTGAAAGGTCAAATGGAAATTGAAAATAATAAATGGAAAGTGATAAAGGTCCTAACTTTTAACTACTTTTTTAACTACTTTAACTTTTAACTACTTAACTAGATATTATAAATTGATATAAAATAAATCTACCATAAAAGACGGTATTTTCAGAAAACAATAATAAAATGATGGAACTTTCAGATAATAATTAAAAATGGGTGACAGAGAAAAACTTTAATTATAGAGGCATTAGAATTTTTAGATTTTTATAAACAAAAATTCAAAACTAATTTTTATCAACTTTTTTTTCTAGATGATGTAATCAGTTACACTGCACTCTCTGCACTTAATTAGTAATATAATACCAGTATATGACAAACTACAATTTAAGTACTACTACAAAAAAATTTATAAATGCAGATTAATTATAACCAAAATATTAAAAACACACCATTTTTTGTTCTTGTAACTCAAAATCAACTGGAAACTTATTTCTCTTCTAGAAGCTCAAAATGTATACATTAATTATTACCTATATAATTTTTGAACAAATATATATATATATATATATATATATATATATATATATATATATATATATATATATATATATATATATATATATATATATATATATATTACTATTATTATATAATATTATAGATAGTAGATATATATATATATATATATATATATATATATATATATATATATATATATATATATATATATATATATATATATATATATATATATATATATATATATATGTAATGTATATATGTATATATACATTATATATATATGTAATCTTTTTTTTATATATAAACATTTTTTTCCCCTCATTATTAAAGAAATGAACTTAGTTGATATTTAAATATTAAACATAATATTCTCAAAAAAAAGTTGTATTAAATTCTTTAAATTGAAAATACAAATGTGGGTTGTAAAGATCAAGTAAAACATATTTTACAGATATGAAAACATTGTCTATTCTCATTGTTTTTTGATACCAAATTATTTTTTGTCCAAATATCAATTCCACAACTATTTGCATTTCAAAGAAATTCTATTGTTTCTGTGCAATGTTTGTCCAAATATCAATTCTATAACCACTTACGTTTCAAAGAAATTCTATTGTTTCTGAGCAATGTTTGTCCAAATATCTCATAATGTCTATAATGATTCTTTAGAACATAAACATAACGCTGTTATGTTTATGTTCTAAAGATTCTATATAAAAATATCAACTAAATAGAATAACACAAAACTAAATATGAAAAAAATCACCAGTTTCAGTTGACTTTCTGGTTCAGAAAAAAATAAAATTAGGTGCAAAAGAAATACAAAAAATCACAATTACAACGCCAGATTTACCTTCTGCAGACAATTACCCAACTACAACTGGCCAAGTTGATGGACATTAGAACAAAAAATAGAGCTATGTTCCAAAAACAAGTGGCTCTGTTTTTGACTAAGCTTGGCTAAACAACCTGACAAAAAGTAAAATCACTTTGCGTAGAAGCTAAAATTGGAATAAAAACATCTAAAGAGCAGTCAAATTAAATAGTTTCTTATTATGGCGAGGATAGAGAGCAACAAATAAGTTTGATACGTAAGAAAATACTCAGTCACAAAAAATGCTGCATTAAAGATAATAGAAGATAAAAAAAAGACTCTTTTAAAAAATATTTTAAAGTCTTTAATGCGTGAAAAAATTGTAACAGCAAACATTTTTAGAACTGCATAAAAAATTGCAAAACAATATTTACGGGTTCCTGAACCTAAAGGTCTTTTCTTTCTTAATGCTTTTTTTTAGTATTATTTTTGTCTTTATAAGCGTCAATCTTTTCAAAAGTTTGAAAACAAAATTTCTTCAGAGTTAGTTGATTCATCAGGAGCATGCCATATCTGTAAAATATCAATACATGTTTTAATTAATAATCCTTCATAAAATTACGAATTTTATTTGGCTAAAATAAATGTCTCTTATTCAAGTTGAAATACTGTTGCTTATAGATATAAGTTTACGAAAAACAGCTTTAAACAGCATGGAGAAAATGTTTTGTTTTCTAAATTAGCGAAAGAACTCATTGCTGTAGCAATATCTACTTCAAAAAAAACTTTATTCGGATTGTTTAGATTTAAATTAATACAACTACCACAATGCATTGCCCATTTGATGATTTAAAGGAAAGGTCTATTACTTAATTTTTGACATATAAAAAAGGTTTTTTCTAGAAAAAAGCACTGTATGTATATACATATATATATATATATATATATATATATATATATATATATATATATATATATATATATATATATATATATATATAAATATATATATATATATATAAATATATATATATATATATATATATATATATATATATATATATATATATATATATATATATATATATATATATATGTATACAGGGGCTATTCTAGGAAAAAAATTGGGCGGCGGTATCTATAATATATATATATATATATATATATATATATATATATATATATATATATATATATATATATATATATATATATATATATATATAATTATATATATATAAAAAAAGTTCCTCATTTTTTAATTTGGGCGGCGCCCAAATACAGTCGGCGCTGTCGAAAACAGTCTATAGTAGCCCCTGATATATTTATATATATATATATATATATATATATATATATATATATATATATATATATACATATATATATATATATATATATATATATATATATATATATATATATATATATATATATAAATAATATAACTATTACAACAGTCAAGTCAAGAGTTAATGTCACAAATATTTATGTTAACTTAAGTTAACAATGCACAAATATTTGCGGCAGATATTGATATCTACCACAGTGATATATCACTTAGTTTTTAAAACAAAAACAAAACTCAAATTTCAATTCAATTCAAAATACAAATGTTTTTAAGACCTTAAATGAACAAATTCTGCCCATAAGATAAACTGTTAAATACAAACACAATGAATGGAGTTTTTCAACTTCGAATATATCAAAAAGAAGCATTAGTTAATATTCAATCTAACTACAACACTAACCATTTTAAAATGGATAAATTCAAAGGATTTTTATAAGCAAAAAAAAATGTGCTCTCAAAACTTTCGAATGAAAAATTAAAAAAAAAAAAAAATTTCTGATGACAATACTGGACCATGAAAGAAATGAACTTAACAATATTGCCAGATACTATATATAAAAAATACTTCAAGAAAATACTCTCGAAAAAAGTATTTAAAGTTTTACTAAAATTTTAAATAATTTTGTTAGTAGTAAAAATTTCGTATGCCTCTAAAAAATGAATTTGAAAAATTAAAACAAAAAAGCAATGGTCAATATTACGTTCATAAAAACGATCGGTTTGTTGCGATTGTACATTGAGTGGATATCAACGATGTTATTATAATATTATATGTTATAAAAAAATGATAAATAACATATTTTGTAAACATAAATAAACGACGTAATAGTAAAACGAAATTATTTTTTCAAAGTAAAAATGATCTTGAATCATAAGAATAAATTCAATAAAACTAAATAAAAATTGCTTTATTATTAACTGCAGTTTTTAAATGCAATTTTTAAATTTCATCCATGCAATTTGTTAGATACAGCATTATTAACGGCGTTGTAATATTCTTTCGACAAGTAAACAATTCTCCGCGTACATCTTACATGTACAAACAAGCAGCCCCTCCACTTTTTCTATTTTATTTCTTTATTTGTTAAAAAATTCTTCTTCGCCCGTGGAAGAACTTTATAAGTTGATGTAAAAACCTCTGGCGGAGGTGATTCACGTGAGAATAAATTGTTGATTTTAACCGTTTTTTAATTGAAATCAAATAAAATATGCCACGCTCCCCTAACCCCGTGATCAAGTACACTGCGATTCCAAGTCTTTTCGAACCACATGAGGTTCCTCCTAAATCATTGCATTTTTGCTGATATAAAACTATTTCATGTTTTTGACTTCTAAATATCTGATTTTATTTATGTTTTATACTTTTATGGGCACCATATTAGTTTGTTACAAACTTTTTTATACTTGATTTTAAATTATCAACAAAACAACTTGTTATACAGTATCGGACAAAACAAGTGCAACCAAGTAATGCTAATTTAGTTTCTTTATATAAAAGTGCTGTATTTTTTCAATTTAGAGTTTCTTTAATTTAGTTTCTTTATATAAAAGTGCTGTATTTTTCAATTTAACTATGTAACTGTTTAGATACAATGTTCTTCAAGTTTTATTCATCACAAAGTTCATTATTTGTACACGAAAATTAATAAATTAATCAAAACTATTAAAAAAAGTTGATTTCCTTCTGGACATGTCCAGAAATTTTTGTCGACAAAACCAGTGCTTCACAAAATGTTGATCAAACTGTATTTCGCTATCAATATTTCGTGGCGAATCCTTTGTTGTCTTTCACAGCCTTGCATCTTCGAGGCATAGATTCAATCAAGTGATCGATGAAACTTTGTGGAATCGCTGCCTAGGCCTTTTGGTTTTGTTTAAACAGTTGATCCTTATTACAAATACCTTCACGATTAATTCTGCAGTTGACAATCTCCCACAGGATCTCGATAGATCCGAAGATTGAGGCGGCCAATCCATCACCGATAGGTGGTTGTCTTGAAACCACTGCTTGACTACTTTTACAGTGTGTTTCGGATCGTTGTCTTGCTGAAAAACCCATTTTATTGGCATATTCCATTCAGCATGAGGTAACGTAACATCTTTCAGGATATTTTTATACATGAAACAGTCCATTATTCCATCGATTCGATGTATTGGACCTAGACCGTTAGCAGAAAAACACCCCCAGACCATTACATTGCCTCTACCATGCTTCACGGTCTTATGGCAGTAACGTAAATCGAGGCTATTTCCGGCCGGTCGACATACACGGCAAATGCCATCGCTCCCAATGATGTTGAACTTCGATTCATCTCTGAACAGGATAGTTCACCATTTCTGCACATTCCAGTCAATATGAGATGAAGCAAACAGGAGTCTTTACTTCTGGTTCTTTAGTGAAACCAGCGGTTTCTTTGCAGGGCGTCAAGAAAACAAGTCGTCTGATTGTTCGGTCCAATACAGGCAGCTCTAATTGCATTTGTCTCAACTGATGGTATCCAGGGATCCTTTTTGACAGATCTGACAATCATAGAATCCTCTCTAAAAGTGGTGGAACGCGGTCTTCCACCTTTGTTATCTGCTGCCAACTTCACCGTAGAACGATATTTGGAACATAGTCTTGATACGGTTCATTTTTTCACGCGATATTAATCACAAATACTTTTTTGTGACATTCCACTTACGTAATCGCTAATAATTTTCTTTCTTAGTTCCAAACCAAGACTGTCGGGAGCCATTTTTGCAATTGAAGTCATAAAATTAACAAAAATAAAAAATCACGCTTCTCAAGGCTTACCGTGTTACATTTACCTTGTGATGGTACAATAATGCTCTCTGGACCACAATGTCTTGGTTGGATGTGGA